CAATGAACAAGCGCTCAGAGCCCTGGGGCGAAGGGCAGTGGGGTCTAGCAGAAAAGCCTGGCACTGACTTCCCCCACCTCTCCCGGCCTAGGAGGGAGATGACAAAATCGAGTACCGTGCCTGGAACCCCTTCCGCTCCAAGCTGGCAGCAGCAATCCTGGGCGGCGTGGACCAGATCCATATCAAGCCAGGGGCCAAGGTGCTCTACCTTGGGGCTGCATCAGGCACCACTGTCTCCCACGTCTCTGACATTGTAGGCCCGGTGAGTGAATGGGGGGAGAAGGAGGGGTGAGTAAGGGCAAATGGTGAGGTGGAAGGGAGGGAGAGGTGTGGCTTGGGGCTAGGCCCTTCCTGGAGAGCACCTGTGGGAGAAAGAGCAGCTCCAAGCATCCGGTCTCCAAAGCCTTATTTAGTCTCACTCCTGAGTTCCTGGTCTGGAGGGAAGGGACATGGGTGTGGAGTAAGTGCAGTTAGAGGGGCCCAGGGTGGAGACGGTTGGAATTGTTTGCCCTCTTTCAAAACGTTTGTCCCCAAGTCTGGTCTTCTGGTTTCTCTTAAAAGAACAGATGTCAGTTTCTGGGCCTGCATTTCTGTGTCGCTGTGCAGGCTCCCTGGTTAGAGGACCCCAGCGCAGCTCACTTCAGGACCCCCCTGCTCCTCCGCATGACTGTAGGCTGTGTCATTTAGTGGTTAAAAACCCCAGGCTCGGATGTGGGCATTTAACAGTGAGGTGGCCTTCGGCAAGTTACGGAAACCCTCTGAGCCTCAGTTTACCCTCTGGAATATCAGGTTGCCTTGAAGCTAAAGGAGTGAATTCCTATAAAGTACTTAGAGCAGTCCCTGGCCCATTGTAAGCTGTTAGGAGTTCATTGCTGTGCCCTGGCTTCCTCGTTTGAGGCCTGTATTGGGGGACTGGGCTCTCAGATCAAGTCAAGAGGGACCGAGTAACTGTTGGCAACAACAGTTGTCAAATGGCAGGATTTTGATTCAGGGATTTGAAGGGACGCTACATGCAGTGTTCATGCCCAAAAGTAGGTGTCCCATCTAAGAACTGGGATCAGTGTTGTTTTGTTTTGTTTTGTTTGTTTGATTTTAAAGATTTTATTTATTTATTTGACACAGAGGGAGACAGCAAGAGCGGGAACACAGGCAGGGGGAGTGGGAGAGGGAGAAGCAGGCTTCCCACTGAGCAGGGAGCCTGATGGCGGGGCTCTATCCCAGGACCCTGGGATCATGACCTGAGCTGAAGGCAGACGCTTAACAACTGAGCCACCCAGATGCCCCTGGGACCAGTGTTTTTATTATTTGATTTATTTTAGGACGGTCTAGTCTATGCAGTCGAGTTCTCCCACCGCTCTGGCCGTGACCTCATTAACTTGGCCAAGAAGAGGACCAACATTATTCCTGTTATCGAGGATGCTCGGCACCCGCACAAGTACCGCATGCTCATCGGTGAGGGCTCTGGGGGTTGGCTCAGCTTGTGGAGGCCAGGCCACGCCAGGGTTCCTGGAAGAGGTGGCCAGAGCCCCTATTGGAATGGAATCAGAGTGGATGAGCAGGCCTTCTGAGTCTGTTGGAATGAAGAGGGTGAGGGGAGCTCTGTGGGGTTGTGGAGCTTGGGTGTCGGGCAACCTCATACGTCCCGCCTCCCTCTAAAATATGGTACTTGGTATGCTGTGCCTGGCTTACGTATAACAGCCCCCTTCAGAGGTCCTCCTCATCACCTGGGGCGATCATAACCCAGAAAGGATAAACTTGAGTGTGGTCTGGCCCAGAGGGACCCATTGTGACTATTACTGTGTTTAAAAAAAAATTGGAAGCATAACGTAAAACTGGAATTCCTTGTAAACCACCCTCAGAGGTAACCAATACAAGCAATTTTTTGTCCGCTTTCCCCAGTTTAAAAAAATCGGTTTTCATTATATCATGTTTTTGGTTGTTTTATTCAGTCACATTGGCTTAAAAATAATACTTTGCATTCCTCTGGTTTTGAGTTTTTTTTTCCCCCCATGCATTCATACCATACCCTTTGTCCTGCAACATATGTCACTTTTGACAGTCCCGCAGACACTTTTGCCTGTAAGTGCTCACCTTTACTTGCCTTTTTGATGACGTGTCTCTCTCCCCTCCCCTCCCCTCCCCACCCCAAACCTGGGAGCGTCTCAAGGGCAGGGTCCAGGTTTGACTTGTCTCTGTGTCCCCCACACCTGGCCTAGGGCTGGCCACAGAGTAGGTGGCAATCGTGATTCACAAGAGGAATGAGTTGATAGTGTGATTGGGTTTTGGACCCATCCTGGGAGCACAATGGAGGAAGGGGGATCGGTGGTGTGAAGAGAAACTGGAAGCAGGAAGACTCTGGCAGGAATCTGCTGGTGATGGGGCCTCATGGGAGGAGCTGGGAAGGTGGGGTGGATCCAGCTTGTAACTGTCACTTCTTTCTCCCTAGCGATGGTGGATGTGATCTTTGCCGACGTGGCCCAGCCAGACCAGACCCGGATCGTAGCCCTGAATGCCCACACTTTCCTTCGAAACGGAGGACACTTTGTGATTTCTATTAAGGTGTGGGGCTTGGAGGAGTTTAAGACGGGGTGGTAGTACCTTCTTTGTAACTGCCAAGCAGCTGCTCAAAAACAAGGGGCCCTCCATCCTCCTAATCCAGACAGTCTATTCCCAGACTCTATCCCTGCCCCCCCAGCCCCTAGTCAAATAGCACATGATGGAAAATGTCTGCAAAACTAAAAGGCTTTCAGTTTAAATAGGCAAAGAATGGTCAAGTGCATGATCGTGGAGTTGACCATCTGAGTTTGAATTCCAGCTTGCACTGATTCTGAGCAAGTTACCTAACCTATGTGCCTGCCTGTTTCTTTATGTGTCAAGTAGAGGGATTAGTCATATCTCTTTTAGTGTTGATATAAGGATTAAATTTATCAACATATATGTAGTGTTTAGAATAGAGCCTGGTATAAAATTTTATTTATGTATTTATTTTTAAGATTTATTTATTTGAGGCAGAGAGCACAAGCGGGAGAGGGAGAAGCAGGCTCCCTTGCTGAGCAGGGAGCCTGATGCCAGGCTCTATCCCAAGACCCTGTAATCATGGCCTGAGCTGAAGGCAGACACTTAACCAACTGAGCCACCTAGGCGCCCCTAAAATAAACTTTAGATGAATGCTAGATGCAAATGTTTTTGAAAATGTTTTATTTTGAAATAGGGATTTTCAGCCAGATTCACCATTCATTAGCCTTTTGTTACATTTATTTTAGTATTCTCAGCATTATTATTATTGTTAAAGAAGAGGAAGTAAGAGGGGAAAAAAGAAAAAAAAAAAACCTGGGTATAAAATTAAAACACTGGCTTTAAGATAAATAGGTCTCTGTGTGAAGTCCAAACCAAATTGGAAAACTTCTCTAACGAAGTCTTTCCCTACATTTCCAAAACCTGAGTTTCACAAAATTTCCAATGAAAACAAATACTGCTGGTTTAAAGAGCACAAAAATAGGGACAAGAGCCCAAACTTGCTGCGAACTTAAATTCTGTCTTCTGTAGGCCAACTGCATTGACTCCACGGCCTCTGCTGAGGCTGTGTTTGCCTCTGAAGTGAAGAAGATGCAGCAGGAGAACATGAAGCCCCAGGAGCAGCTGACCTTAGAGCCATATGAGAGAGACCACGCCGTGGTGGTGGGTGTGTACAGGTGAGCAGGGGCAGGCAGCCCGCGCAGACGGAGCCCTGCAGGTCAGCGTTGGTGGGAGTGCCCCAGATGGTGACAAGCTCTGAATCGCCTCTCTCCTTCCTCTCACAGGCCACCTCCCAAGGTGAAGAACTGAACCCCCGGCCATCTGGATTGCCAAGAGATTATGTTGCTACTGTTTCACGTGTGTTTTTCTATTAAAAGACTCATCCAGGCGCACCTGGGTGGCTCAGTCGCTTAAGCGTGGACCTCTTGATCTCAGCGCAGGTCTTGATACCGCGGTCGTGAGTTCAAGCGCAGCCTTCTTTAAAAAATTCAACCGTCACCGCTGTGGGCTGAGCAGCGACCGCCATTCCACAGGGCGCGTGCGCCGTTCGCCAACTGGCGCGGGAGTGGGGGTGGGCAACTTCATCCGGTCGCTCGTGCGCATGCTCCTTTCTTAGCTGCCTTTTGCGCAGTCGTAACCCGGATTCTGACGCCTGGGCGGGGTTGATAGCATACTGTGCTTGTAGGCCGGTGAGCCTCGCTGCGCGCAGGCGCGGAGTGTTATCCTTGGTCACGTGGGGAAAGCGGAGTGGGGGGCGGAGCCCGGGGTGGGGGGGCCGGTTTGTTGTGGTCGCCATTTTGCTGGTTGCATTACTGGGTAATCGGGGCCCTAGCTCGCTGCGTCCGCCGGATACCTTCAGCCAGTGGGCAGGTCTGAGCTCGGGCTTCCCGAGCAGCTTGAGTCCCCTTGCCCGCGCCCTCAGGTAACAACGCGGCTACAGGTGGGGCGGCACGAGCTCGCGGGAAGGGGGCAGTACAAACCCGCCCTGCCCGCGTCGCCGCCAGACTTAGCACGAGGCCGAGGGAGGAGAGCAGGGGGCGGCGGGCAGGTGCAGTGCAGGCCGTCCCTGACTATTCATAGTCGGATTCTTGGAAGGGGCCGAGCCCGAGGGAGCAGTTTTGGGAGGGCGACTGGGAGGGGGTAGCGGGGCCCCGCTCCCGCCCTTTGTTTGGGCTCGGCTCCTCTGGCCGCATCGTCGTCGCCTAGCAACAGCCGTTCTGAGCTGCGATTGGTTGAGCTCTTGGCAGCAGCAACCAATGGCACGGTTGTTGCCATGGCAGGTGCGGACTGCCAAGCTCAGTCCGGCCCCGCCCGCCGGGGCTCCGCCGACCGGGGCGGGCCTCCAGGGTGGGGGGCGGGACGCCTGGGTCCCCAGGGGAGGGTGGCTGTGCGGGGCGGGGCCGGCGGGGCGAGAGTTAACCCGCCCCTCCCCCGTCCACCTGCTTTCCCCCTTCCCCCGCGTGCCCCGGGCTGACCCTCGTTCCCTCTCCTCCCCGCCCCCGGCGGCGGCGGCTGCTGTTGTCACCCACCGGGCCGCCTGTCCCGCTTGCCCTCCCCGCCGCGGGGCTTGCCGGGCCGGCCGGGCCGGGACAGGCGGCCGTCTCCTCTCTGCCGCCACCGCCGCCATGCTGGCCGCTCGCCCACCCCACTGGGGGCCCCACCGCGCCCCAGCCCCCCGTGGGCCGCGCGCCAGCCCTGACCCGGGTAGGGGGTGGGTGCTGGGAGAGACGGTCCTGCTGTGGGAGGGCCCCAGGGAAGAGGTGGTTTCGGGTGAGGGGCGGGGGAGCGCCAAGAGAGAGGAGGGATCCTGGAGTGGCAAGGCTTGGCATAGGAGAAAGGGATTGACATGGGAGAAGGCCTGTGGGGAGAGGATTTTGGTGTGGCAGGTACTCTGGGAGGGGAGAACTCTATGTGATATTTGGGGAATTTGGTTCTGGGGGCCTTCTAGGAATGGGCACAGTTGTGGATTGACTTTGATGTAGAGAAGAGTAACTGGAGAAAGGGCCCTGGTAGGAATATTGGATGGGGGAGGAGGGGAAGATCCAGTGTAGGGGAGAGAAGGGCGAGTGAAGAGACGCCTCCTCCTTGCTCCCATCAGGAGAAGTGAGCCTTGATTGGGAGGGGGAAACATGGATTAATATGGGGAAGATCCCTGATGTGGCACAGAGAAAGTACCTTGGTGGGGGGGGGCTGATGTGGGAGAAAATGGTATAGGGATGAGGTCTTGGCATGGTATGGGGAGGGTCCCCTGGGAAGGGGGTGCCCTGATGCATGAGAATGTCATAGAGGTAGGATTCTTTTATATAGAGACAATCCTATGTAACAGGATAACCTTGGTGTGGTCCCCAGGACCCTGATGTGGTTTTAGGGGCCTGCAGAGGACTCTGCTATGGGTTTGGAGGGGACCCAGAGTTCTCTCATGTGGTTTGGGGGATCCTAGAGTTCTCTGGATTTAGGGATCTACTGGGAAGGGTAGATCTTGAAGTGCAGGGATCTTGTGTGAGGGGGCGCTGGGGAGGACCACAAGCAAAAATGGGAACCAAGAGTGAACCCTACCCCCTGTACTGTCTGTGGTTTCTTTTTCTTCTCTTCCTCCCCCCGATTATTGGTGTCTTTCTGTCCTTTCCTTTCATGCCCTATATCCCTGCCTGGCTTTCAATCATCCCCGTTCATATGGTCCCCTCTTTGCGCCACCTATTTCATTTATTTGGTAATCATTTGTTGAGGGACTCTGCTGTGCCCACCCCCCGCCGCCCCACCCTCTCTTTCCCCTTTCTACATTGCCACCTGTTGTCCTTTTTCTCCTCTCCCTGTGTGTTGCCTTCTTTCTGATGTCCACCTCTTTCCCGCCTGGCCCTTTCCCACACATCCGCTTGTTCCATGTTGTTCCCCTGCCTCCCGCCTACTCTCAGGTCTCAGCGGCGGTGGCAGCCGAGGTGCAGGATGCGAGAAGGCGCCCCCCGGCCGGGCTCCCGCTCCAGGCCTCGCTCCCCTGCGGCCCTCTGAGCCCACCATGGCCGTTCCACCAGGCCATGGTCCCTTCTCTGGCTTCCCGGGGCCCCAGGAACACACGCAGGTATGCGTTCAGCTGGCTTCTCACCTGCCTGGGGTAGGGGGAGGCTGGGGATAGAAGGGTCTTGGGGGTGAAAGATATTTTGGTTACCCAGATCAGCTTCCCGGGGGCAGGAAGGGCCCATCTGGAGTGGAAGAGAATAGAGGAGTTGCTGGCCGAATCTGTTTGGAGAGCCAGGGTTCAAATCCTGACATGGTGGTTAAATGTCTCGGGTTCTCCCTGCTTTAGTTTTCTGTTCTGTAAAGCAGAACCAAGAATGATACCTACCTCACAGGGGTGCTGCGAGGTTAAACAAGTTAACGAAATGCATGTAAAATGCAGAGAACAGTGCTTGGCACCTAGAAAACACTCAATGAATGTTGACAAAGGAAAAAAAGGTCCAGAGTAAAAGACAGGCTGGCGGGGCGAAAGGCAGTGAAGTTTGAGCCAAAAGGATCTTGGAGCCAGCAGCATCTAAGGGTACAGAGTCAATATTCCGGGGTGGACACTATCAAGGCTCTGTAGGGCTTGAAGCTCGATGGAATGGGAGGTCCAGGCTGCTGGATCCCAAAACACTGGGCAGAAACATGCAGAGTTGGGGGTGAGGGATGGGGCATCCCCACGGGATGAGGGTAAAGCCTCATGGCAGCCCTCAAGATGGGACACCCAGAATGGATGGTCTCAGGTGAAGGACTGGAAAGGACAGCCCACATTTTCTATCTAATCTCTCCCACAGAGGTTCAGAAAGGAGTAAAGGTGTGGGATGAAAGGTCAAGGGTAAATAGTTGATCATTCATTCACTCAGCAAATCTCTGATGACCACCCACTATGTGCCAGGCCCTGCTCCAGGCACTGCAGATACAGCAAGAACAAGACAGTCTCTGCCCTTGGGGAATTTCTATCTTGGTGGTTGTCACACAGGAACCAAGTAAATCCGTGTGTGGTAACGATAACCCAGCCACCCAGAGGGTTCTCCCATGGTCTGAGGTGAAGGCCTATCCTCAGTGCCCACCCCCCAACCTGACCCACAGGTATTGCCTGATGTGCGGCTGTTGCCACGGAGGCTGCCCCTGGCCTTCCGGGACGCGACCTCAGCCCCGCTGCGCAAACTCTCCGTGGACCTCATCAAGACCTACAAGCACATCAATGAGGTGGGTGGGGGGCTAGGGAGCAGGGGCTGAGGGTGGGGGCTGAAGGGTCCTGGCTGCCAGCACAGGTCACTCAGCTGTCTTTATCTTCTGGCTGGCTGGCTGGCTGGGCAGGTATACTATGCGAAGAAGAAGCGGCGGGCCCAGCAGGCACCACCTCAGGACTCGAGCACCAAGAAGGAGAAGAAGGTCCTGAATCATGGTTATGATGACGACAACCACGACTACATTGTGCGCAGCGGCGAGCGCTGGCTGGAGCGCTATGAGATTGACTCACTCATCGGCAAAGGCTCCTTTGGCCAGGTGTGGGAGGCCCCCCTCTACCCTGGCCCTGGGATCGGGGCATCCACTGATGTTGACCCACAAAAGAGTGGTGCCCTGCTCTGTCCCACATCCCCTTCCCCCCATTTCCTCACTTTATGACATGCCCCGCCCCGGCAGGTGGTGAAAGCCTATGATCATCAGACCCAGGAGCTGGTGGCCATCAAGATCATCAAGAACAAAAAGGCCTTCCTGAACCAGGCCCAGATTGAGCTTCGGCTGCTGGAGCTGATGAACCAGCACGACACAGAGATGAAGTACTATATAGGTGAGGCCTGGGGCAGTGGTACTCCCAGTACGGAATGGGGCTGGTGTCTTTAGGGCAAGGGCTGGTCTGTAATTCCCTGATAGCAGTGATTCTCCTGCCGCCTTCATGACTTTTGCCCTATGCCCATGATGGTGCCAGTCGAAGTTTATTGGGTGCTTGCCGCTGCAAGCCTATTGCAAGCACTTTAGATGAATTAACTGGTTTCAGTCTGACCACGGCCCTGGGGGGAAGGGGCATCTTGGCCCGCAGCTTGGAGAAGAGGACAGGCATGTAGATGCTATCACTTGGATAAGGTCACGACGTTTGCACTCCGGGGCTGTAATCTCACCAGGCAGTGGGCTCCAGCACCTGTCCTCTTAACATCTATGTCAGTCTTTTTCCTCTTTCCCATACTCATTGATTGCTCTTAGAAAAAGCAAGTACATTGAAAGAGTGTGTTTCCTTAAATACACATCCTTACCCTAAATGGAAAGCCAGTGTCCGCTGCACAAAAATAAACAGAACTGAGACTAAAACAATGTTAGAAAATTAAGTGAGGAAATGTAGAAGGGCATTAAAGACCCATCGGCACCAAAAGGAAACGTTCTCTTTGGTTTATCAGAAAGTTTGACAAGATGGGGCGCCCGGGTGGCTCAGTGGGTTAAGCCTCTGCCTTCAGCTCAGGTCATGATCTCAGGGTCCTGGGATCGAGGCCCACATCGGGCTCTCTGCTCGGCAGGGAGCCTGCTTCCCCTTCTCTCTTGCCTCTCTGCCTACTTGTGATCACTCTCTGTGTCAAATAAAATCTTTAAAAAAAAAAAAGTTTGACAAGAGACTTGAAGAGAATGAACTTGTCTTTATCACGGAAGTCATTCTCTTGATGTGACTCAAGTTCTAGACCATATAAAAACGATCTGACTAGCCGCCGCTTCCCGTGGGCACCCCACAGTTTGGCCAGAGCTGCAGAAGCAGAATCCCCGATCAGCTTCCGGCCTCTCATTACTGTGTGCCCCAGGCCGCCTCTGGCCCTCTCTGAGCCTCAGCTCCTCCGTCGGCCCCTCTCCACCCCCTTGCCCGCAGTGCACCTGAAGCGGCACTTCATGTTCCGGAACCACCTGTGCCTGGTGTTCGAGCTGCTTTCCTACAACCTGTACGACCTCCTGCGCAACACGCACTTCCGCGGCGTCTCGCTGAACCTGACGCGGAAGCTGGCGCAGCAGCTCTGCACAGCGCTGCTCTTCCTGGCCACGCCCGAGCTCAGCATCATTCACTGCGACCTCAAGCCAGAGAACATCCTGCTCTGCAACCCCAAGCGCAGCGCCATCAAGATCGTGGACTTTGGCAGCTCCTGCCAGCTTGGCCAGCGGGTGCGGCACGGGGCGGTGCGGGACGGCATGGGGGCGGGGATCCTGGTATGGGTGTGGGTGTGGTCCGGGCGGGGGCGGGGCCAGCTGGTGACTGGCGTCCGAGGGGCGGGGCGGGGGTTGCATGGTGCTGCCCGACGTGGCGGGTGCTTGAAGGATAGTATTGGGACGGGGTGTTGGCGGCACAGAGTCGTTAAGGCCAGTGAATGGGAGAGGTAAAGGAGAGGGCCGCAGGGTATAGTACCCACTAGGAAAGAAAGAAGCCCGAGGAGACGGCCAGCAGGGTATAGTACCCACTAGGAAAGAAAGAAGCCCGAGGAGACAGGGCCAGCTTTGGGCCGTCGGAAGGGGCAGGGTGGAGTCGGTTTGGTAAGCCAGGAGTGGCACTTGGATAAGTTTGCTGACCCTGTGCTTTTAATGCTGTGGAGGAAGTGTGGGGCGGGTGCTTTAGTTTTGCAGCTTCGTGTGAACAGGCATTTGAGATGGCTTGGAAAGGGTCTGGATTGGGTGGGTGGCAAGGGCCTTGGGCTCACACACTGCTGACCTTTGATAACCAAGAGAGGTCCAGGGTCAGGCTTCGGGATGGAGATCTGGGTCAGACTAGGCCACCAGAGACTTCTGAGGCTGATGAATTAAATGATGGTGGTGGCTCCTGGAAGGTGGGTGCTGATAACCTCAAGGTTTGGAGCCCCTATCCTCCGTTTTCATGGAAGGAAGCTTATCTTAGCCTTGGGTATGTCAGCAGCGCCATTCGAGGAGGCTGGGACCTCTGACTGTGGGCCTCTTCCCTGCTTCACCCCCAGATCTATCAGTACATCCAGAGCCGCTTCTACCGGTCGCCTGAGGTGCTCCTGGGTACACCCTATGACCTGGCCATTGACATGTGGTCCCTGGGCTGCATCCTGGTGGAGATGCACACCGGAGAGCCCCTCTTCAGTGGCTCCAATGAGGTGTGCTCCCGGGGAGGGGGGTGTGCTGGAGCGGGCAGAGGCCCGGCTGGGCTGGCCTGCTAACCCTGACTGCCCACCTGCTCACAGGTGGACCAGATGAACCGGATAGTGGAGGTGCTGGGCATCCCACCAGCCCCCATGCTGGACCAGGCACCCAAGGCTCGCAAGTACTTTGAACGGCTGCCTGGGGGTGGCTGGACCCTACGAAGGACAAAGGAACTCAGGAAGGTGCGGCCCCTGCCCCGTGCCGCTCCTCCCACCCTGGTGGCCCCTCACTCTCTCACACTTGGGGCTTCCTTTCTCCCTGCTTCCTCTCCCTTGTGTCTTTCCCTTCCTTCCTCTCCCCCTTGTCTGTCCTTTCCTTCGTCCCAGCCCAATCCATCTCTCCTACCCACCCCACAGCTCTTCTTAGCTTCTTTCCTTCCACTTTCTCTCTTGTGCCTCTGTTTCCCCGTGTGTGTCTCCCTGCCCCTCCTGCCCACTGACGGCCACTCTCTTGCCCCCCCTCCCACCCCCTCCCTGCCAGGATTACCAGGGCCCCGGGACACGGCGGCTGCAGGAGGTGCTGGGCGTGCAGACGGGCGGGCCCGGGGGCCGGCGGGCGGGGGAGCCGGGCCACAGCCCCGCCGACTACCTCCGCTTCCAGGACCTGGTGCTGCGCATGCTGGAGTATGAGCCCGCCGCCCGCATCAGCCCACTGGGGGCTCTGCAGCACGGCTTCTTCCGCCGCACGGCTGATGAGGCCACCAACACGGGCCCGGCAGGCAGCAGTGCCTCCACCTCGCCCGCACCCCTTGACACCTGTCCCTCCTCCAGCACCGCCAGCTCCATCTCCAGCTCTGGTGGGTGCCCGGTGCCAGTGGGGCCGAACAGGGAAGGGAGGGAGGGTGGGCAGCTCTGGTTTGGCCTGACCTGGGGGACCTTGCCCCCCTGGGCCTTCACCTAGAGCTGTGAAGCTGCGCCACCCTGAATTTGAGAATGGGTGGGGCAAAGAGGGCTCTGACCTGGTCTCTGAAATTGAGCTTGAGCTCACACCTCTAAAACTGCTTCTGACTCTGATACCCAGAAGTGAGCGCTGACTGTAATCTGAAAATTGGGCCCCATCCTCCAAATAGGCTCTGGTCCCAAGGCTTGGGCCTGGGTCATGAACCAGACTCAGCCACCAAAAGACCCTACCACCACCTCTCCTCACTTAAGGTTTCTCCTCATTTTCTCCCCTGGCACTTCCAGGAGGCTCCAGTGGCTCCTCCAGTGACAACCGGACCTACCGATACAGCAACCGATATTGTGGGGGCCCTGGGCCCCCCATCACTGACTGTGAGATGAACAGCCCCCAGGTACTACTGGGTGCCTTGGGGACTTGGAAGTTGGTAGTGGGGTATCTGGGACTTTAAGACCTGGGTCTCCATCACCCACTGTTTCTTTGCTCCTTTAGGTCCCACCCTCCCAGCCGCTGCGCCCCTGGGCAGGGGGTGATGTGCCCCACAAGGGGCATCAGGCCCCTGCCTCCGCCTCGTCACTGCCAGGGGCCGGGGCCCAGTTATCCCCACAACCCCGATGCCTTGGCCGTCCCCCATCACCAACCTCACCACCACCCCCGGAGCTGATGGATGTGAGCCTGGTGGGCGGCCCTCCAGACTGCTCCCCACCTCACCCAGCGCCTGCCCCCCAGCACCCGGCTGCCTCAGCCCTCCGGACTCGGATGACAGGAGGTCGTCCACCCCTCCCACCCCCTGATAACCCTGCCACTCTGGGGCCTCGCTTGGGCCTCCGTGGTGTACCCCAGAGCACGGCAGCCAGCTCATGACCCAGCCCCCTCCCTGGGGCCCCTCCTGAAGCCATACCCCCCATCTGGGGGCCCTGGGCTCCCATCCTCATCTCTCCCCTTGACTGGAATTGCTGCTACCCAGCTGGGGTGGGTGAGGCCTGCACTGATTGGGGCCTGGGGCAGGGGGTCAAGGAGAGGGGTCTAGGCGCACCCTCCCCATAAGGACTGGACCCTTAGCCCCCTCTCCCCCCCCTTGTTTTCTATTTATTGTACCAAAGACAGTGGTGGTCCGGTGTCGGGGGAGACCCCCTTCACCCTCGGGCCCTAGGAGGGGGTGGGGGCAGGTAGGGGGAGATGGCCTTGCTCCTCCTTGCTGTACCCCCCAGTAAAGAGCTTTCTCACATGCCTGCCTGAGCGTTTGCAGGGCCTCGGCTCCCTCACCTGGCCCTCAGAGGCATGGTGGGGAATGGTGTTTGGGGAGGGGGTACCAGAAGAGCTTTGTCATGTGGGATGCGTCCCTGGGGAAGTTATGGCTGTTGGTGCAGACATGGGGCTGCAGGAGGTCCTGAGCTACGGAATCCTAGACAGAGATCCTGGATAGGATCCTAGCCCACGTTTGTCTTTTCCTTGGTAAACAGAGACCCTGAAAGAGTAAAGCCCAGTTCTGGCCTCTCTCTGGAAAACATCAGGATCTGCCCTAATAAGCCAGGGCTTCCACAGAGTCTGCAGGGGCGTGGTTCTTTATGCCAGGCAGGCATCTAGCAGGTGCTGAATGCATGTAGCAGGCCTTATTGGTGCCATCTGGGGGATGGCAGGCAGGCAGTGGGTACAGAATTTACCCCCGCCGTCTGGTCTCACCCTGTGGAGCCATGACGGAGAAGAGCATTTTGAGATTCTCGGGCAGAAAGATATTCCCGGGGTTCCAGGTAAGTGGGTCTCTTTCCATAGCAATCTGGAAACTTTTGTCTCCCAACTGGCCAAACCAGAGCCTCCTGATTCGGAGGTACCTACCATCTCCCGCCACTGGGGCGCGATGCTTCCTGGGAAATGGAGTTCTACGTAGCAGTCCCTTTCTCCTTTTTCGTCAGAGGACTACAAAGACCAGGATTCTTTTCGCTCACGAGTTAGGGACGGCCTCCCGAGGTGCCAATAGGCATTCAGAGACGGAGGGGGGTGCCCGGATGCTTTGAGGCGGGCTATGGGGGAGAAGAAGGCCGTGATTGGGTAGCGTCGGCAAGGCTGTGCGCGAGTGTTGAGTTCTCTCAGGCGTGCGGCAGGTGGGCGAAGGTGCTGCTCTGCGAGACCGTGCAGGTTAGGCGTCTGTGGTCACAGAGCAAGAGGTAGGCGCTGAGGCCCAAAGCGGCCCCAGCGCGCGGAGCATCGCTAGCCGCGGTGTCCGGCTCAGCTCGCAGGAAGCCCCGGTCGGTAGGAAAGCCAGGCGGAGACGCGAGGAGAGCGGATGTTCGGGAAAGGGGGCAGAGTGGGACGTGGAGGGAACCCAGGCGAGGCACGGCTGGGGAAGCATTCTGGGAGGAGCAGGAGCTGTCGGCAGGACAGGTCTCCAGGAGACCTGGAGACAGGATGTTTGCGGTGGCCGTGGTGCGGTGGTTTGCGCACAGGCAGCAATGAGAAGCAGCCTGTTGTGTGAATGTGAACTGCGGGAGATGTGGTGTAGGAGATCTAATGGAAAGTTTGTATGAATTCGATCGCGGAAGATTTTATAGGCCATTTAGGGAGCTTAGGCTTTGTCCTAAGGGCATTGAGGAGCCACGGGAGGATTTGTAGAAGGGAAGGGGCATGGCCCATTTGCTGCCATCAAGGAATAGATTGATGGGAAAGAGACTGGGGTCTGGGAGCTCAGGGTGGTGGTTGTGGCACCATCCTGGGCAAAAGGTGTTGGGAATGAACCAGGGCAGGAGTCTTGGTTGGGACAGAAGAAAGGGTATGTGTAGGAGAGGTGTCCAGAAGGCTGAGCTGACAGGATATATGGCTTACAGGCTGTGTGGAAAGGGAAGGTAGGGAGGGGCAGGGAAAAAGTTATCTCCAGCAGGTCGAACAGCGCCTGGCATATGGTAGATGCTTAATTAAAAAAAAAAATTTTTTTTTGAATGAACACAGGAGGCAGATGCTGTTATGATCTCCCTTTTGTAAACAAAGATACTGAGGGCAGATAAAGTTAAGTAAGTTACCCATGATCACATAGCTAGCAAATGGAAGGCCCAGGATTGTGTGTGTGTGTGTGTGTGTGTGTGAGAGAGAGAGAGAGAGAGAGAACCATTAACTTAGCAAGATGCAGGATAAACTTTGAGACATCAGCAGGGTCCAGATCATGTAGGTCCCTTAAGGAATTTAAGATAAGCATGGAAATGTATGTCCCACATTTCAGTTTCAAACCCAGAACCTCTCCCTGACCTGCTGACTGACTGCCCACATGATATCTCTTCTCTCAAGATATCTGTAGTCATCTGGAGACGTGTCTTGACCAAACTGGAGACCGGTCTTTTCCACAAAACCTATTGTCCCACAGTAAGTGCCGCCTCCATTGTCTTATACTCATGTCTGGTCCGTCAGCAAAGTATATTCAGAATCTGACCATTTTTTCCCACCTCCACTCTTGTCACCCTGGTCCTGTCCACTCTTCCGGCCTGCCTACACCATCACAACAGCCTCCTCAGTGGTCTTTGTTTTCCCTACAGTCTGTTTCTCATACGCAGCCAGCGGGACACTGAATACCTTTATCAGGGCCCTTTACCTGGAACACTCTTCTCCAGATAGTAGAGGCTCACGTTCATCTCCTTTAGGTCTTTACTCAGATACCATCTTCTCCCTGAGAACTTCCCTGGCCACCATTCTAGAATTACATAACTGATATTTGTATATGTGCTGCCGAAGCGAGCACTATAACTGACATTTGTATATTAACTTTTCTTTAACTCTTCCTTAGGATTAATCACATCACTATTTAACTCACTATATAGGTTATTTATCGTGATCATTGTCTCTCTGTTCTCTGTACCCACAGCAGACCATAAGCTTCCTGAGGACAGGGGCCTTTGTCTACTTCATGCTTTATCTTTAGCATCTAAAAGTGCTCCTGGCACATAGTCGGGGCTCAGTAACTGTTTACCAAAAGGATGGTTCAGTGGGTGCTTTCAAGACACAGATTATCTAATCCAACATGCTAGGGACTCTGTCCATCCCTTTTCCACAGGACTTTAGAGGACTGCCTTAAAGTTTTTTGATGTCTTAGACATTTGACAAGTATTTCATCTTGCCTTGCTCTGTGCTCAGCATCGGGAACACAGCAGAGAACAAAACAGTTTCCCTGTCCCAGGAGAGTTCAGTCTCAAGAGTGGGGGTTCACATCCTCAGCTAATCCTACAGACAGGAAATTAGAAAGAAAGTTAGAGAGTGCCATAGGAGCACTTGGCCAGAAATCTAATCTGGACCCTAGGAAGTGGGGTTCAGGTGATGAACGTATAGGCACTAAGGTGTTCCATTAAGGGGTAAAAGTGTGAGGATGCCTGGGTGGCACAGTTCAGTTAAGTGTCCAACTCTTGGTTTCGGCTTAGATCATGGTCTCAGGGTCCTGAGATCAAGCCCCATATTGTACTCTGTGCACAGCATAGAGTCTGCTTGTCCTTCCCCCTCTGCTCCTCCACCCCATTCTCATAAATAAAGTCTTTTAAAAAATAAAGAGGTGAGAGAGAGAGAGTGTGTGTGTGTGTGTGTGTGTGTGTACGTGCACTCGCATGTTTGTTGGTTGGAACCTAGAGGCTGAGGGGGAGCAAGAGGCCAGGTCATGTAGCCCCCGTAAGGAATTTGGGTCCTTACCCCATGTATAGTGGGAAGTCACAGAAGGGTTTTAAGGCGTGAGAGGAGATGCAGTCAGTCTTGTATATCAGCCATCCCTCTGGCTGTCATGTGGGGGAACTGACAATAAGAGGTTGAGTATTGAAGTAGTGAGACCAGTGACAAGGCTGCTGTCCTGCGATTTAAAAGTCTGCCACTGCAGAAGGCCACACATTCTTTGCTGTTTCTCCCATCAGGAGGTGGAGCGTCTTCCTTGTCTTTCATGTAGACTGGCCTGTAACTTGTTTTGACCAGTAGAATGCCATGGAAGTGATGTTGTGCTGGGTGGGTCCTTAAGAGGCTGGCAGCTTCTGCTTTCCCTCTTGGGGCTCTGGGCTGCTGTACAGAGAAGTCCAGCTACTCCGCTGGAGGGAGACATGGAGACAGACGTGGATAGAGAGAGGCCCAGCCAGCCCCTAGCGGCTCCGCTGTGTTGGCTGACGGGCCAGACACGAGTGATGCCATCTCGGATATTTTCACCCAGCTCCCAGCTAACGCCCTGTAGAATAGAGCCTCACCTTGCCCTCTCCGCTTTGCTCAAGGTACAGAATCACAAGCGAATAAATGGTTGTTGCTATTTTTAAGCCGCTGTGATTTGGGATGATTTGTTACTCAGCCAGAGCTCCCTGAAACAAGCTCTCTGAGATCCTTTCATTTTACATTTTACGGATTCACTCATCTCAGCCCCATGGTCGCCCTGTGTGGGACTTTGGTTATTCCTGTCACACAGAGGAGGAAGCGAGAGCACAGAGAAGCTAACAGGGTTCTTGCAAGCTACCCGGCTCGGAGTAAATACTGAATGTGCGACTGCGTTTACACCTCAGCTTGAAAGTACCCGTAATCGGTAAAAAAAGGGGCAGTGAGATGAATGCGAGTGGCACTAACCCGCTTCTTAGTGCTTCCAAGGCTCCGTGTCGTCGTCACAGGATGGGGATTCTAATAATATTCGTCTCAGGGTCTGCCAGCGCAGGTGCCTAACACGTGCGGGGACTCTAATTCCTGGGCAGCACACAGCCAGGGTTCTCGTGGACAGTGGCCTGAGGGCCACAGGGGTGAAGCCGATTTCTTGGGGGTTCTGGCAGAGAGACAGGCGGGTCCTTGGTGATGCGGTCGAAGTCCTGGGTCAGGCCTCACCCAGCGTGAGCAGAGTGAATGACTTCTGGACTTTCCCATTAGGGAAACCAGTAAGTCTCATTTACGCCAAGTTACATTGGGTTTTCTGTTGCGTGGAACCACCATCCTAACTGATTCTGGGTGTTTATCTGTTTGTTGACTCATCAGATGTTGAACACTTACTTGCATCCAAACACTGTTTTAGGGGCCGGTATTAGAATAGTAAACAAGATCTTGGAAAGCCCTGTCCTTGGTAAAACTTCCGTTCTCATGGGGCAGGTGGATGCTAAGGAAATCGGTGTTGATCGTAAGAGCTTGGAAGGTTGGTGGCGTGGGAGGGGTGGAGGAGAAGAGGGGTAGAGAGTGACAAGCTCTGTGATGAAACGTTAATGCAGGAGAGACCTCCCCAAAAGGGAGGAAGCCAGCTGTGCATATGTT